TTCTCCACGATGTTCATCTTAGATTGAAACTGGGGGTAAATCACCCGCGATAAGCAATGAGATCGACATTTAAGCGATCGACATCATAGTCGCCCGCTCAGTGGCATCACTGAGCACTGCGGTCGATCTACGCAGCATGGGCCACATGCTATCTATATCTTGCACTTTGGCCATAGTTGGTTGTCGATATATACCTTACGTGCATCCTCGATCGCAGAAATCGCCCTCAGTATATATATATATATATATTTGTTCCATTTTGCCCAAAATTTGTCCTCGCCGGCGTCCAGTTGCACTTGCAAGGAGCCTGGACGATGGACACGGCTGTTGTGGTGTTATTTAGATCAGGATCTTCATCCAGAGGCGGAGCATTGCCGGTTCAACATCCGTCGGTAGAGTCGTCATTAAATATAAGTTGGAAGGCTGTCGGGTCCCATTGCCCGAGAATAGCTGTTGCGGTGAGAGAGGAAGGCGCAAGTTATTTCCATAAGATGGAGAAATGAGACTGATAATCCTAGTCCGATGTTCATCGTATTCACTGAGGGAGAGATAGGCTCTCGATTGATGAGGCATATATCAAGTCGTGCACCAGGTAAGTACTTCCAGTTCTTTCGGCTATCAACTAATCTCTGGATAGAAAGCTCTCTGGGCGGGCACACAGGGTAAGGCGGAGATGAGAATATCTGTATCTGAAAGATCGCAGTTCTGGCTAGAACATGGATGAATTGGACATCCTTGTTGACTGTCAAAGGCCGGAGCAGAGCACAACAAACTGAAATCTCGTCAGTTGTAGATGCGATCGCTAATAGTGATTTTGTATAGTAGTCTACAACAGCAGTGACAAAGGGTTTCGACACTTGCTCGAATATTGGAAGAAGAGCTGGCCTCCATAGTGTGTATCCTATCGAGAAAACTTGAGTGTAATTCTAGATTTCATAGCATGAACTGCTGAACATTGTTGTTGTTCCTATTTTGATTGCATGCGAACTTGAAATGGTGATTGACACACAGATACACTGAGTGCATCGCGCTGACGGCATGGGAAATTCCTTTGCAAAGCATGGACGTTTGACTCTAGGGAGAATGCATACCGGTCTGACAGCCTCACCTGTCATGTGTTTCAGGATCGATAATGAAAATGGCGTCAAATCCTTAATATCTGCACCTGAATGACGCAGGAACCAAGTTCACGGGAATTGAAGACGAATCCAGCGAGTTTATGATCAACGTTTCGGGCTTTTAAAACCAGAAACCAGAAACCAGAAAATAGTCATATGGGCATACGTGATCTAAGAATTGATCTTTCGTTGGTCATACTTATGTGTTGTTCACTGAAGAGGCCCTTAAGAAAAACCCAGGAGTTGGATGGGCGTTCCAATTAGTAATATATGACTCGTAGTACCATTCGTCCTTGCTAGCTGCAATCGATAACTTTTATTGGGGATCCAAAAATAGCAGTCGGTTGTCATTTCTTTCTCTGTTGCTAGGTTGATTGTTTTTCAATATGTGGCATTGCTGGTTATGATGGCCAACCGGGCAACTTCACAGGCTATTATTCTGGTATTTTGCCAATCTGATTGCAAACGTTCAGGACCACAACGAGGGTATCCCTACATAAAGTTCTGTAAGTTCCCAACGTATGAGGTTTGCCTCCGCGAAAAAGGTGGATCTATGATTGGAAAGTGTAGAACAGGGCCAGCCTTTGTCAAGCCCGCTTACGACCTCACCCAATCATCATAGAGTGAGATTTCTTCGTAGACTGGCTGATTGTTTCGCTGGCACAAACATATACTTGGAGCAGTGCAACGACCTAAGATGTGTTTGTGTCCTTTTCTGGAGGTGGATGTTCGCCCGCGAGTTTCCTCTTGCCTGAGAGCGACATCTAGCTGTCAAGGCGTGATTTTGCTGATCAATCTCAACTTTCTTCAACTTCGTTTGTGAATAGCATATGCGCATCAGAGCGAAACCTTTCTCCGTTGAAATTTATCAAACAGCAAAGACTCCACCGCCGATATCATAGTGCCGGATAGTACATGTTTCTCTTAATATCACTTCCGCCCCCTTTCCACTTCTGTGAGCATGGTGTCTTACGATCCTCCGTTTGGATACTCCCTTCGAGTGAACGGCAGCTGCCCTGAGAGCACCAAACAATGTAGGGCCACTTGGGATGGGTTCGTTGCCTGCTGTCCATCAGATAGCACCTGCAAGGTATCAGACAACAACAAAAATCCTATCTGTTGCCCGACTGAGGCGGATTGTCGGGAACCCGTTTTTAAGATACCTCATTGCACCAACGCAAGCTGGGCTATGTACGAGCATTCTGGCCTCTTCTGCTGTAAGGAAGACCACCAGGGGTTTTGGACCTCAGAAAAGAAGTATAGCGACAGTGTCGGCTGCGCCAAGCAACCTGAGGGAATGTCACGAACGATCCTGAATCCAAAACTGCAAAGTAAGTTCTTAGGAATATCATGTCTTTGTTGAAAGGTCTGATAAGGTTTCGGCATAGCTATCTCATCCACGACTTTCACGTACCCCCAGAGAGCAACTTCGACGTCGGCCTCCAGATCCGCATCTGCATCCGCGCCCCATATATCCGAAACCTCTTCATCTGATACTGTATCCAGCTCTGATGGTGCTCCTCCGGGGGCAATCGCGGGTCTGTTGTTGGTTGTGTGGCTGGTGTGGCTCTAATCGCTGCGTTGATTTGGTACTTGCTTCGGCACCGACGGCAGAAGAGACAGCCTGGCCCAGGTTCAGATTCACAACCGGTCCCCGGATTTCCCAAAAGGCCGGCCTCTTCGCTCCAAGGTGAGATGAGTGAGTTGCCGTCGAGTCCGCCCATCCAGGCAGTTTACGAGGTTCACGAACTGCCACAGACCACGGAAACCCGGTAGACGGTCTATAGTCGATAATGGCTAGGTTGTATGAGATCACGAAATAGACTGGTTCTCAATCTATCAGAATCAGATGGGTATCTCGGGCATGTATATGTCACTCACTTTGACATGTTAGCATCCAAGCTAACATATTGATGCCAATGTGTACATGTACAGACGATAGAGGCATGACCAAGATGCTTGAACTATATCAAATGACATAAGATGCTGTCCATGTTTAGTCTTATAAGGACCTTTCAAGCCTAGCCACTTCGATTCTGGACCCTACATAGCCAAGTACGTCCATACTCGTATGTGGGAGTGGAATGACCCCAAACCATGAGTGTCGTATCTGGAGAGACAATTTATAGGCCACTAAATTTGCATTTTCATAGGGTAGCTCAGTCTCCTAGGTTGCAACGATTGGATATCACAGTGTGCATTCGTCCAGTGATTGTTTTGGAGATCCAATCCGTATTTTCTGGGGTTTACGGTCTCCAGTGACTTTTTGGAAAGAGCATATATCAATGGCATCATTAGCCCCCCCAACACACGAGATTAAAGGCAGATGTCATGACTTGCTCCAGAAAGAGTTTCGGGGTCTGCGCAGCCTGAATGGTCTTGACAAAAACGTGGATATATCAGTATCCACAGCATCAGCAGCTGCATCTTTGTCAAATAGCATTTTGACTATATCTGCGTCAAGCGCACTTGACACAGCTAAACAAAGCACTGTCGCATCTTGAACAGCCTGATAGTCTGAGCAGTTAGGATGTGCTACAACTTCGAGAAACACTTCGAGCACAAGCACGCCATCAGTTATTTCCACTCGCAAGATTTAATTCCAAAACAGAATCCTGATAAACGCCGTAAAATGGCGTCATATAATGCCTCATTCGGAGCAAATTAAAAAGGTATTGTCTCGGAAAATTGCGCGAGATGCTTGAACGTTTACATTCAGCCGCTCGAAGACAAGCACAGCCACACTCATCTACGGAGGACTATAGCGGCCACTCCGCAACTGTACTCATCGGTATGCGTAGAAAACTGATACTGATAGGTTGAGAAGCGATTTTTAAGCCCGACTTCGATTCAGATATGACTCAATAAGGACCCAGGGGATTTCAATGATTTAAACAACCAATAGAAGAAACGAAATACTGATGATTCTCATTTGCCTAACCAACTAACGGATGAGGCGGGGAAAATGATGGGTCTGGTTGGGAAAGGCAGACAATAGGCGGTAAGCCAGGCGGTCAATCTATTGCCTGGCACTACTACTAGTAGTCGTGCTGCCGAACGGTCCAATCAACTATGCTGATTCCACACAGCGTTCCAAGTTCCATCAAGGTCCTTACTCAGTAGGTACTCCCGTCCTAGTACCTAGTCCGTCGTACGCAGCACTATTGTTTCCATCCATCATTGGACCAGTACAGCGTCGGGTCCGCTCCGGCTCCGAGCGGCCCTGATAATAATTGTGCATTGTTGACTTTAATGGCATAACGTAGGGGAGATAAGGCCCCCACGTCCCGCATTTAACTCTCTGATCTTGGTATTGTGAGTTGATCAAGAGTTGTATGACGGCTAGAAAGACGGGAGGACATTGTTGGTTAGCTGGTATCTTCTCCTGACATCGTCAAAGTCACTTCTCGTGTTTCTTGTCGCATCCAGGGGCGACGGAGACTGAATCGAGGACCCGAGGAAGGAGAACCACGTGGCCCCAATGTTACCCCTCTCCATATCCCAATTCGGAAAACCAAAAACACCCTTCCCTGGTAACATTCGAAAATACTTCAAAAGTCTAAACTAGAAACCTCGCTTCTCGGTGTATACTTGACCGGATTTGCCTACATTTGAGAAATCCACTGATACACGTAGCTACCGCCGTTGTGTTGTACATACTCTCTTCATTTTGCATTCAATAATGAAACTCATCCTCGAAGATCATCGAGAACAGACAATGCTGTGGACAAGGTCTGGAGGATGTTGTGATGCAAGTATTCTTTATTTACGATCTAGGGTGAGGGAGAGATAGAAGAAAGCAACACTTCGCGTTAAAACGTTAATTGGCATTCATGGTATATACATCATGGACGGTCAGGAGTCAACAGGAATAGTCAACCCTTAGTAGTGACGCTCAATGGCCTCCTCAACCTGCTGCTTGGCGTGGTACTGAGCCTTCTGCTTGTCAATGAAGTCGAGACCCTTGGTCTCGAAGAGGCGTTCGACAGCTGCGAAGGCGATACCAGCGCCGATCTGCTTAGCCTGGGCATGGTCCTGGGGCTTGCCTATACATGGGGACAGTAAAATCAGCTATGTGAACAATCGACTCAAAGACAAGGATTGAGTATACCATTCTTCGCCTCGTGGTCGTTGTAGGCCTTCATGGCCTCGTAGGCGGCGGCACCACCGATGACTTGGTGAGACCAGTGTCCCTTGTGGCCTTCGGTCTCGTTGACCTCGCGGTGGGCTTGGGCGTTCTCGTGCTGTTCGTCTAGTGGACAACTACAGTCAGTACATCATCGAGGGCAAGAGAGGACTGGGAGCAAGAGCAACGTACCGAACCAAGACATTTTGTTTGGATGAGAGTAGTCTGTTGAGGAAAGATCAGAAAAAGTTGTGATGGATGAGGAGAGAAAAAGAAAAGGAGGGAGAGAGGCAGACGGGGGGCTATTTAGATAGATCGCAAAACACTCTAACCGAATGGATCGGCGTTCAGCTCAAAAATCGATCGTTGCGGTGAGATACGATTGTATCCACAGACGGGCCACGTCGATATCCACCTGCCCATGGGCATCCTCTGTTATTGGATCGAGAGTTGTCTCCGCTTCTCAGCTGAGCGTCCACAAGGCAAAGATGGAGTCATTCTCACGCCATTTGGCCATTTTCAGGGGCTTGCAGGATAAGGGGTTGAGCCTCTCGGGGGTGTTTTCATGGAGGGGTCGGAGGGGTTGAGGGCTCAGGGCTGAGGGGTAAACAACGCATGCTGGAACTCTGTTCCGATCGACACTCCGCAGTAATATCAACACAGCCACAAGTCCCCATTCCCGTACGTAAGCCCTCGCCACCCCCCGGACGAGATCGGTCCCAAAAGAGGAACAACGGAAAGTACACCGTATGCAACAAGGCCCCTATCCTTCAGTTCGACTCGGCTTATGCTTGAAAGTCATCTAAGATGCCTAACAGAAGGCTTAAGGATACAATTACGAGACACGATCCCTGCCACGAAACAATTCCGTGCAGTGCGCGTCAGTAACGCAAGATTGTTGTTCCGCTCAGATCGCGGGTAGCCTGGTAAGGCTTAGTGTATCTTGGCGTGAAGGCTTGAAAGAGAAGCCAAGTTTCAACAAAAATATGGAGAGCCACCGGAGAAATTCAAAAGACATCTTTCATGATAATTGTTTGTAGAATCCCATTCTACTCAAGGGGTGCCGTATTAACCCAGCCAACCTGAAATTACCAAAACCCGAGTGTGGTGGGCCCACTGAGCAAGATCGAAATCCGCATGCTTCGTATCATGGAACTTCAAGCCATATTTGTTGAAAAACCCGTAGATCTGCGGCTCGGCGCTCACGGCAACAGGCACGTCCGCTGACCGACCCTTGTCGAAGACATAGTCCTTTCCGATACCGCAATAACGATATTCGGACTTGACAACTATGTACGTAATCTCTGATAGAGAAAGCAGACTTACCATAGCGGTTGATGGCCTTTCTTGGTCAATCTTGGCGACTGCTTCCAGCACCACTGCCACGACTTTAGGAGTAAAGAAGGCCGGGAGATCCTTCTTTTTGATCTCCTCTCGGGCTGTTTTGTATCCTCTACCGGTCGGCGGCGGTTAAGGGCGAGATGGAGATGACTTCGCCCGGGACATTGTCAACCACGGTCCGAGATTCGGGAGAATCTGCGTCGTTTCCTTCTAATGCATTGAGATAGTTTTGCTGCTAGACAGCTTCATTGGACCAGCTCTTGAACAGAAGCTGGTTGACAATTAGAGCCGCTTGGAGGTGTATAGAAGGTCCCCCAGTGCAGACATGTCGGAGAGTTCGACTGGATGGATGGTGTAGCTGGGAGGAGTGATTGTGCTTGAATTAATTAAATGAGATACAAAAGGAGGGATGGTATACGCTCATTTAGATTGAGGAAGGAAACCTACGGCTCAAATATCCCTGTCTGGAGCCATTGCATGTGCGGCACGGCATCCGGATGATGCTTGGTGACAACATGCAACAATGAGTCCTTCTTATAGAGTGTAGATATTGAGCGTAGACGTTGTAGGTATCAAGATAGAAGAGGCTCAAATAGATCGAGACCCACATCGAGGATGCAACACAGCCTATGAGGTATTGAAGTGCGGGATTTCGTTCTACTCCGTTCAACTTAATAATCTAGCGCTAAATGTCAGGAACACTATCTTGGTTCTTAATTCTTTGACATATTTCTGACGAATTTAATATCTTTCGAGGTTAATATTTTAATATCTAAAGGAGAGGATCGTACTCAGTATCTTACCCCATCCATGCCGGCATTCTCATCTTTATCCAAAACACTACTTGTTTTGATATAGCTCTGTTTGTATCAACGAACTCTCAAGGTACTATGATATTCTTTGTATAAACAGATATACAAACATGCACAGCGATATATATATAACCTCATATTTCTGGAGTTTGATTTGGTAAATCCTTCTATAGGGAGAGCACCCTAAATGAGTAAAGAGAAGCCGTCTGTGTCATGATAAAACATCACAAAAAGAGTGGTTCTTGGGAAACTCGCGCAACTAAATGGAAGAGACTGGAAGCAAAACGGAAAGAGAACATGCACACCACTTGAAACGATGAGGGTAAATAAGACATCTTTAAATATTATGTTATACGTCTGTCACAGAGGACCAGGTCAAGCTCCAATTATATACATTTTGGAACATGTTGGTGACTTTGACTGCTGTGACTCGTTTGGTCCATCAAGGTGAGGATAAAGTGTCTCCATACGGATCAATCCGTTCATACACACCTGTATTGGGGTTTATCATGCTGCTATTTGGAATATACGAGCGCACGACAAGCCACCAGAAGTGAAGAATGAGGTATTTGACCTATCATAGCCCAGAGTGGATCGTATAGAGTTCAGACAACTCACTCCTTTTGCAAGATTCGGCACTTGCGGCAGATCTGCATCTTGGCAGAGCCAATCAGCTACACAAGACTTGTATATAGCGGGGTTCAGCTGTGGTTGTGAACAGGAGCTATTTTCCCAGCTGAACTGCGTTGGGGTGTCAGTGTCCTTTTGCCAGCTGGCAGCTGAAACAAAGCATTTAAATCCTAGACAGTTCCCATCAGTGGTAATCGCTCCTCTCCCCTAGTCCCCAACCAAGCTCTCGATTCTGTTCTACTTGTAAATTGGACATCATGACTACCATCCGCCTCGATGTCAACCTTTTCAACGGCAAAGATGACTCGGTGAAGAGGACGAACTGTGTTCCTTTGAAGGATTTTGACATAAGTGACAAGAAGCTTTCCGACGTGCGATCAGTGCTTATTAAAAATGGTGGCTTGGATGCCAGCAAGTGTGTTTCCTGTCTCTGTTTATTATATTGTGCTAATTGTATCATAGGGTCGGATGTTCATTTTGCTCGGCTTCCGGAGCTCTAGTCAATGATGCTTCATCCTTCTCGGATTATGTGGATATTATATCGGAGGGAGCAGAGGTTAGTTGCTGATTCTAACCATGCTTTGAAACGTGAAGCGCTGACTACCTCTAGGAGAAGGAGGGCGACGACCAGAAAAAGAAGAACACCTACAATGTCTACATCTACCTCAAGAGCAAAAAGACCACCACAGGTCTGAGTGACGAGGTCAAGGAGACTCTCAAAAAAGAACTCAATCTCAAACTCAGTGTAGGTTTCGGAAGCACTGCATACATGTGTGTTGAGCTGACCATCCAGGATAAACCGGAATTGCTCAAAACATCTCTAGACCAGCTCACCAGCTCCTTCAACAAGGCCGACTGGGTGGCGGAGGCTAGCGAAAATGCTACGTAGGACCTTCATAATCACTGCTTGATATTTCTCTGGTTTGCTAACTCTACTAGTAACCCCTCCGATATGTCGGAGAAAGAGTGGAATGTTGTCATCCGCAACAATAGCCTCACAAGCGCTTCGCGATTGGTGTTTTCCAATCTGGGTCGAGCATCAGATGGAAGTAAAAAGCTGAAATTCCGTCGGATCGAACGTGCACCATACAGTGGTATGTCAGAGACAATCTATATCTATCACAATTTTATATGGTCTAACAGGGGTAGCCTTTGTGTTGAAACCGAGAAAGTTCCAGCCGCATGAAATTTCTGATTCAGAGGTCAAGATTGAGGTAACTTCTACCTTTTATTTATTTGCGACGATAGCGAGAAGAGTGATGCTAATTCAGTAGCAACAATTCCATATCCCTCGGTTTGTTGTGGCAGATGACTCGTACGTGGACACGTTTGAGACTAAATCGTCTGTGGCAACAGCCATGGCTCGCAGCTCCTTCTCTTCCATCGAGGCAGAAGCTTCTCTGTATGCATGAAACCCACAATTGAATCATAACGATCTGCATATAGCCCTAGATGGATATGCTAACAATACATAGTGAAGGAGGAGCGTTTGGCTTCAGTGCCGCTATCAGTGCTGGCTTCTCCTCGAGTGAGAGCTCTGCATTGAGCAAGCAGAGTACGGCGGAAAGCAGCACGATGAACATCACCTACAATGTAAGTTTTCATATAACCATGTACATTGATAGCCTTCATTTAACCTGGCATTGTTAGTTCCCTCGAGTGGTATTGCATTTGGATGAGTACAGTTTGGACTTGTCAGATGAATGTAGCCAGGATCTTGTCAGGGTCAAGGACGTCAACTCTCTGATTGCCTTTCACCACAAATACGGTATGTATGGACGCATAGCTATGTTGAATAGTAGCCCGCGACATTGACACTGACACGGACAGGCCACTTTTTCGCCACGCGCATCGAGCTCGGTGGGAGACTCTTCTCATCAGAAAAGTTCAGTACGCTGGGTACAAGCAGCGAAAGTGAAGCTACCAAGCAAATGAAGATCTCAGCTAGTGCCTCATTCTCATCCACGTATGTGTCTGGTAGTGCCAGCTACAGCCAGGAGAATGCACAGTCGGCACAAGATAGCAATTCCAAGCGGGCTTTGCAGGGTTCGATCTCCTGGCAAGCCCAGGGTGGTGATACGCTTCTTTGCAATAAGCAAGTCTCTCTTCGTTTTATCCTGAATCTAGAAAATAAGTGCTAATTGTAAATTATAGCCCTCCTGCATGGTGTCCTACGGTCGCTCCGTTCCAAAACTGGCGTGTCATCAAAGTATTTAAATCGACCCAAAGATAGCTTAAATACCAGAGGTGCTAATATCATCTAGCAAGAAGACGTCATCCCCCTCGGGGACTTCATAGGCCGGATACCCGGCTACGAAGATATTCCTGAAAAGTTCAACAAACTAGCTGAAATCACTAGGAAGAAGGAGACGATCAGCTTCCGGCTTGGGCTAGATGCATGGCAACGCGCAGACAAGAACAAGCCAGAGTATCTATCCCTCCATCACGCGTGGATGATTCGTATGACCCCCCTTTACAATATCTGGATGTGTTTATACTAAACCCAGCAGGCCAGGATGTTGTTCAGTGGTGCGCCAAACGAATACTAAAGGAAATCAAGGAGAGAGGAAGGCCTTACACTCTAGCCGAGTTATCCAACTGGGCGAGTAAGTACATCCCTGACTGAGGAGAGTTCAACAATTAACTTGATTAGATCATTCAATTCCTTCCGAGGTCCAAGCACTCTATGATTGTGGTCACCCTGGAGTGACATTTACAGACAACAGTGACGAAACTGTATTTGACGTTGAGGTTGAAACCCTCATGAACCAAGCTCCAGCCGTACGTTTCTGATCATGGCCTTCTATACACGTATACTAATGCAGGCAAACAGCTCCAATATGGCCAACGATATCATCTCTTTAACCGCAAAAGGGGCCTGTGGCTACGCGCAATTATCCTCAATTTTAACGGGACGGAGATAACGATGTTGGCTGCTGGACCCAAGCATGAGGCGACACTATTTGAATTCCGCGACAAAGACCGAGAGGGACCCATGCGTAATGGAGATAAGTGCTGTCTCTTGGTATACGGACCCGATGGCAAGCAGAAGGGTATTGTGGCAATGTCGTTACGGGGTCTAAACCCAGATGATGGCGCCGAAGATGCGAATTCGATTGGAGCATTGCCATACAGTGTTCCGAATGAAGGTCGCATTCGCTTCACGGTTCTTGAAATGGTGGACCAGGCAGATGTTCCTACTTGATTTATACATTCTGTCTTGGGTTTAATCCTACAAACAAACGTTAGAACTCGAAGATAGGGATTGGTGATTCGAAGGGTTATCACCCGAATTTGCCAAAGTAGCTTAGCTAGGAGAATTTGAGATTTATGTATTCTTTCAACCATTTGTGTCGGCTTCTGTAGATCAAGTTAGTTTCTCAGCATGACTCCAATGGCGTGCCAAAACAGACATATACTTTGGCGCTGTGGACTGCACGGTAGCATTGATTTAGGAGCGCCATTAACTGCATGCTCCTTATGGGTGCAGAAATACGAGGCGCTCGCTGGAATACCATAATACCCGCTGAACACACACCTACAGAAAATGTATAATATCGACTGATCTATATTTGACATATTGGAAGCTCGTAAAGAGTTAAGCGAGATGGCGATCACATAGAATTGTCAATATTCTAGCGATGGCAGCTGCGCATGGGAGCAAAGACTGGATGTTGGCTTTGCTCGCATGATTCAGGCTCGTCCGAGCGGCATACAGCCAGCTTGACAGGTGCCAAACATTCTCTGAGTGATTATGCTTACTGTTTCAGGAGAGACGACCTATTAAGTCTCTTAGCTGGGTTAAATGAGGCTGCATGGTTACGACGGCCGTAATGGGCGAAGGCCTTACTACACCAGACACAGGTCTAGATTGTCTGTAGACGCGCTGCAGTCGTCCCTGAATGAGCTGAGCTTTTGACGATCTTATCTTCGCCTAGACTAGCGACACCCAGTTAGGAATATCCAGAGACATTGTCGCTTGACAATTGGGGCGTCACAGTTATGCACCCTTTTTGGGAGTTTCTGTGCCTATCTTTGCCCGGAAGAACAATGCTACAAGAGGTTAAGCCAGTAGTGACATGTGCCAGGTACATATGTCTATAGGGGGTCAGTACGTTAGACAATTATAGGCTGGCTGCCAGCCAACCTACGGCAAATAGGTTGATTGGTGTAGTTCTAGCCGAGCCACGGAGGAATGGGAGGCCTTACAGGACGGCACTTATAATAGATGAAAGACCCTAGAGTAGCATGATCGGCAGTCATGCCCGCCCCGGATTGACCAGCAAGTTACCCTACTAAGCACAACCAGCCCTACTCAGCCTCCTCTTGGCATGGGCTGTTTCTGGATACAGACTATACTTGGCTGGCCTCAATGGTACATCTCAGACATTCGTTGACATTATCTATTTATGGAATATCAAAAGGTGCTTGGGGAATATGAAATGTGAAAGCAATCAGAGGTATATAAGGGTATTCCTTGCAACAGAGATACAGTATCTCATCTTTCAATCCAAAGACCTCAAGATATCCGCAGCGATTCCAACCCACTTTCGTTATATCTCGTTATAAGCAGCTCAGATACAATTTCAATCCATTCACAATGAAGTTCACCACCTTCTCTCTCCTTTTGGCCGCAAGTACCGCCCTGGCGAGCCCCGCGAACGTCCGAAACGAATCCTTGAAAATCTCCGAGTTCACAGCGAACGCCTCGAAGGACGGCATGGCTAACTTGCACTTCTCTCTCACCGACCCCAACTACCCTGATGACACCCCGACTGACTGCAACGTTATCTGGTGAGTATATATTGGACTAGTGATATCCCGCTTCTACTAATCTCCGATACGTAGGTCCTGGAATGCAGTGCCCGACGAGAATGCCCGCTGCCTCGGTGGCAACTACTATATCCGGTTTCCTGATGGAATCAACCAATTCAGCCAATGGACCATCGAGCTCGAACGCGTTTCTGGCCCGATCAAAGAGATAGGCCAGGCGTCGTTCAGCGACAGTGCTCCTGACACCAAGTGGGAGTGCAAGGAAAACCCAATGGATGGGGTTATAAAGCGCTGCTACTATAATGGTATTATGGAGGTTAAGGTCTAATCGGTGTGATCTTGCTGCATGATAGATGCTAGAGGGTGCCTTCTTACTGAGTTTGTTGTGGCCTGGGCTACTGGTACTGGTGAAGCGGTGATGGCTGTCTTTCCTTAACGCATGCGTTTGATTTCATGTCCAGCTTTTCAGCATGGTATCTAATTAGTACAATATTTTTGTTTGACATATGTCGCTTTTATTAAAGCCAGTTCCTGTTCTATATTGCAGCGACTTCTATTGGTGTTGGACCCTTCGTTTCCTATAGCTGGTTGTATAATAACGCCAGAATTGCTTTCTCGGACTTGCGTACAACGTATGAAGGCAAATCACGAAGAAACCGAGAGTAATCCACGGTATAGTGAATGTCTATAAGAGCGGTTGAATTTAATATGCTCTACCTACTTTCGCAAACGGCCGTGCCGACACTACTAAGTATGTGCATAGCATAAAGCAGTGGGATTAATATCTTGAATCGTGCTCATGTCAACAGACCCAATGACTTCTCTGAGTCTACTGTCGTTGCACAATAGCAGAATACGGATTGAACATACTTTCAACGATGATGTTTCTAGTAGGGCATACAACGTTAGATCTCTGAAAGAATGAGACACCCAATAATACTATGCTCAATTTGTGCTCCAGTCTAGTGTTTGCTTAATGCAAAATGTAGTCACACTAACGTATGCCGAAACTATTCCAATGAAAATGCTGTTACTACGTATAGAAAGGCAGAAGAGTGCCTCAATCTACTTTCTATGTAGGATTTGCCATGTACCAATATCTGGTTCTTAGAACCAATGGAAATATTCCGACTATGCTAGTACCAGTGGGGCGGTGGTAAGATCTATTCGTCTTTTATTTCTGTCGCCTTTTTCTCTTTTCGTCGTTGACGAGCCTGTATTTCAATCCCTAACTGACAGTATTTTAAAAGTATACATAGGTAGGAAAGGATAGGATCCTGATACACAATAGCATGCAGCAACTTCCAGAATGCCCCTCCGACCCATGGGCAGAAGACATCAACCCGCTTCTCGACACGGACTGTTCCATCCTGTACTGACGGACTACGACGGACTGCTATGCGCAATTATCAAGCGCGACGATGTGGCTACATTAACGCGATACCTCGCGAGATACCCTAGGGTGGCCATTGCCCCTACCATAGGAGCCTTTTGCAACCCATCTTACATCGCTGCGAAGAATGGCAGCCTCAATGCCCTGCGCATGCTCGTTGAACACCATTACCAAAACGCTGATGCTATATCACCAGACGGAACATATCTGGCGCCACCAAACGAACGAGGCTTTTTGATATTAAATGTCGCATACCGTCACGCCCATATTGAGATAGTGCGCTTTTTGTTAGATAGGGAGCGTCCTCTTGGATCCGTCCATGCTAAGGATGGTTGGGTTGAGATTGATCTTATCAAGAACATCATAGTCCCGTCTTATGATACCTTGGTTACCACCTGCAGTACTCACATAGGCAGGCATGTGCTCGCCGTAGGATGCTGTGTTCGCGATCCAAAGGAGATCAATCGCCGCCTGATGAAGCTTTGTGCTGACCTACATCAGGAGAAAGAGAATAGCAAAGGAAGAAAGAGTAATCTAGACTCCAGTGGTTGGATTTAATCAATTTTAGGCTCCAGTGAGAGAAATTCCGCGGAAAGAACCCGCTTTACTGACACGCCCAGCCCTACTAGGGTCAGACAGGTCCAGAATTGCTGAGTTGGCAATTATGACCAGCAGTTGCGACCTAGAGGGCCTCGGTTATTTCCGGCTTAATAACATACTCTGGAGTATGATTGTACAGTCTAGTCGAAAGATGTTAGTAGAGTGCAGGCGCCATGGCGCTAGCAGTCGGAAATTCAAACGGGCAATGACACCGTGCCATATGATTCAACAACTGACCACGAATCAGTGCTAGGGGAGGGTGCATTAGGGGAATCCATCAGACAGGGTTGGGTATAGTAGCCTACGTTGAGTGGCACCAAATAGACTGGACAGTTTCTAGTTGACGGGGATTTTCACGTTAGGGCGGGTGGGTCTAACAGGGAAGATACGAAAACAGAGTGAGGTAGCCGAGGTGAGGATATCCCTAGAGGAATTCGAAATCCAGGGCATAGACACGTTTCTGACTCTATTTCTAGTGTTCTGACTACTTATGTACATTCCTCCAACACTTGCAATACAAATCTGACGCCTTATAAACATGCCCGACGCCGATTCAAGATTGCCACAGCAGAATGATTCTCATTCGCGGCTCTCATTTTGTTATCTGATTCCGCAAGCCGACCCGACACGGAAGTCCGTCAACAGGATGCGACCCACCCTGTGGAATCTGGTAGGCGCGTTCGCCAAAGACAGTCCTGGGTCCAGACTGGGGATGCTGGCGGTCCCATTCCGCATACTGGTCCTGGAAGTTAAATTCTCGGAGAATTAACACCAGCGTGATCTTGATGTTCACTAGGGCCAACGCTTGGCCTATACAATCCCGGAGGCCCTGTTCAAATGGACGCCAAGCACCTTTGGGGGGATATAACGGATGGTCTGGCCCAACCAGCCAGCGCTCTGGCTTGAATGTATGTGGGTCTGACCAGTAGTTAGGGTTGCGTTGAATGCCACCGTGGATAACCCAGATACACAATCCCTCTGTTGGATACTTCGTGCCGTTCTTGTCCTGCAGGTAGACACCTGGCTGGCCCTCGCGCAACGCGGAAGCAGCAGGAAATAAACGGAGGGTCTCTTTTATAATCGCTAGAGTATACGGGAGTCGATTGATCAACTCCGGATACTGTTTCACCATGCCAGCTGTAGCTGAAATATCTGTCCCGAACACTGCATCATGCTCAGCGCGAACCTTGGAAAGGATGTCAGGATACTTCGATAACAGATAGATACTGTAAGCAATTGTGGCTGCGGTTGAGTCGTGTCCAGTGAATAGAAAGGTTCGGAGCTGGATAGTAGCCCAGGATTTAAACCCCGGGTCCAGTGTTGCCCCTGCCTGTCGTGTACTCATGTACTCCGCGAGCACAATATCGATAATCGAGTTTGCGCGGGTTGGTAGCTTTTGTTGCCTCCAGGCTTCATAACGTTTATCCAATTCGATCCCAATATAGTGATTCATCGTGCGTCCGTTCAACCACTGCATCATCGGCCGCATGGGATTCCATCGGATGAAGGGATTCATCTGTTCATCCTGACAATGCCACTCCACCTGACTTCTCAATGCCGCAGCCAGCGGATTATACCCGCGCTGACAGTGCAGGCGTGCCTTCCTACAGTCCAGCGTGTTAGTGTTCATCTTCACGAGTCGCGTCTTTGCTTACAAAAGACACTCACATGGCCACATGCCCGATAATATCCAGGACATAGTCACAGGTTACTCTATCTAATAAAAAGGTATCCCCTTTCCGCGCATGCTCGTGGAGAACCTCCACATACTCTTGGGCTTCCTCCAGAATATATGGAGTGTGCTGGAGGATACTACTAGCACTGAAGGCAGGGTTGAAGAACCCCCGGGCACGCTTCCATTCGGGTCCGTTTGTAACGAACATATTGGGTCCCCCTGCGAAGGGGTTGAAGAACTTCGCGAGTATAGGTGGTTTAGGTAGTGCATATGTCTGACAGGCCTGGACGGCCAGATCCGGGGAATTAACCACCAGCAAAGGCTTCGTGAAGGGCCAAACATCAATGTAGAAACAATTGTCGAAATTAGAAAATTCGTAAGATAGTAGTGTAAAGGCCTCTGACTGTTGCGATCCTTTCGGATGCCGCTTCATTAGGCCTGGGATCATCCGCAGATTTCCTGCTACAAAATCCCATTTCGGCATCGGCTGTGTGACTCAGTATTAGCAACGCATGAGTCATGATTGCCCTTCATTGAAGAACATACTAGGCCCTGTCTGCGCAGACGATAGAAAAGTAGGCGTACTTTCAGCATCTCGTGAAAGAATCGCAGGACAATCACCAAAGCCACAACCAGGGCCACTCGGGCCCCGTACGTACTAACAAGAACGGGAAGAGTTGACATGACGCTGTACGCCGAACAAAGAATTGGATTGAATCTATGAGACGAGTAATAGTGGGAAAGAAAGAGAAGCAGACGTGGGTGGGTTAAGTTCAAAAATGACATCCGGAGAATGGAAAAAGACCCATAGGCAGGGATCGGGATACCTGTGGGGTAACCACACAGGACTTGAAGGATGAAAATATAAGTAAAACAGAACAAGCGATCACTTACGTAGACGAACAGGGATTGCATGTTGTTTACGGTGTCAGCCTGTCGGAGTCCGTCCATATATTAATCACTAGCGCCGGTCGACTAATGTCGGCCGAAATGCACAACTAGACCATATGAAGCATTCGGACTCCAGCCGAGTGATATAGGCAGTGTTTCAGTACGACTCATGGTGCGTTAGTATAGTACTGAGTGAGGCAAAATCAGTACTACATTTAGCATGCTGCAGATCCATAATATGTTTTAGTGAATTTTCACTGCAATGAACATATCTAACATGAGTTACATATTCGTTGCTATAAAATACTTTGCTCTCCTGATTATATTATCCCGGTGATCAAGTACTACTTATTTATGATATTAAGCTGACATAGATATAGTCCTCCTCTGGATATCGTTTCGAGCCCTAAAGCTCTGTGTCGTGAATCAGGTGTGAGTAGACTAGGGTGAGGATTGATTGTTGCAGTCAGCTTCCTGTGCATCTATATCGAGCAATTATCTGGCAGCCTAATAATGAATGCAAAAGATGCATCTCAGAAACGGCTTTTCATGCCTTTGATTGTCTTCTGCTGTCGAACTGGACACTTTTGCCCTTCTCTCTAACTGGTTCGGAAGATGCCCGCCTAGTTATTATACATTATTGTGCTCAGCTCTTGAATATGTTGTATTGGTCTATATAGAGGTTGATGATGATTTTATAAGAATATTCCACCACTTCTAGGCCAGGAAAATGTTCATATGATGGATGATGTGCCAAGTATGGCAATTCGTTCCACCGAGCATTGAGCAAGTCTATTTAGATGTCCTATCCGTTGTACGCATCTTAACGCGCTGTCATACTGACAGTTTCCAAATCCCCAAACAGTCCAGGGCAACCATAGTTC